CTCAAGCATTTTTCCCGTGTTTAGAGAGGTACTATGTTTTTATGAAACATTAGTGGATCTTGTTCACCTTTTTCCAGATGCTAGCCTAGCAAATAGATTGTGTTTAGGGTTCTTAGCGTCAGATTTTGTAAAGGTACTTAATGATCTGAAAATTGCTGGCTTTTAGGAAGCTAAAGGATCCCCTGAAGCCTCAATAGCCTACCTAATCTTTGCAAACAATAGGAGAGAGCTAAGATAACAAAAGCATTTCTGAGGTAAGTCAAGTAAAATTCAATTATTATAATCTCTTTCTTAGTGTTATTTGAACTCTTGAAGCTAAGTTGTGCAGATGAATGGTGAATACAAGTTAGTTGTCCGGAAAAAATTTGAGTATAGCTTGCGACGGTTACTAGAATAGAGTGGAAGAACTTGTCAGCAGAACAAAAGGTATTGTGCATATTCAATATCAATGGTGTGAACCAATTAAAAGCTAAAAAATATTTTCTAACGTCTCTGCGTATTCTTGAACTTATAATAGATGGCAAATAAGAACAAAAATATATACATGAAATGGAAGGATATAAAACAATGAGTTAAGTCAGTCACTGACAACCAGAAATGTTTCTTGCAGATACGAAAGTGACGTTAAAGACAAAGAAGAAAAACGAGAATTGACTGTAACAAACCCAAAAAGCCTTGCTTCTTCATTTATTTTATTCTGGTACTTAAACTTTCAAAACTCAACAATCAGATCCAATCTCAACTCTGTTCGAACTATTTGTTCTGTATACAGTTTAATAGCAAGACCAAGCGAGGTTTGTCGAGAAGAGCATCCCCGGGTCAACAATTCAAATCTTACCGCCCACATTTCTTTGAAATGTAAATTAAAGAAAATTTTATTCATTGTTACTTGTGAAATTGATTTGTTGGTTTTGGGATAAATTTTATTGTAGGAACTGATCGTGAAGAAGAGAGGCAAAATTATAATGGAAGAGCTGTGAGTTAATGGAAGCATACACGAAAGAATGGAATCCTTAAAACTTGTGGAAGATGATCAAAAGCAGAAAACTGTAACTAAAGGTGACGACATTTCAATCTACAACTAATTTGATGTGAATGCATTCTCGTTTGATAGTAGTAATAAGCAAGAAAAAAGACAGGAATGACGTTTTCTAAGAAGCTAACAAATCCTCTGAAGCCCAAACAGCCCATCTCTGCATACCTCATCTATGCAAAGGTTAGTTTTCTTTCTTTACTCGAACATATGACTTAAATTTAACGATGGATTACAAACAGAATCTCCTCCTCAAGTATTTGGCAGAGCCAATGAAGATAGTGAACCATCACAGCTAGCTCCTGTGGATGTGTTAGTAAACATGGTTCTCTCAATTCTTGTTGTGGACTACCCAGTGGATGAAGTTGTGTGTTATGTTTCGTATGGTGTTATAATACAAACGGTTCTCTGTAAAATCTTTTGATTGTTGACATTGATCTTGTACTTTTCGGTTGTTTATCCTCACAACTACGGATCCTTCCCTAGGGCATTGTGTGAAAACAACAATCCTCTTTGATGTTCTTGTCCTTATACAGGTAAAAGTGTTTTCACAACCATCAAAATCACCGGATATTTCCTGCATTGTTTTAACCTGATCTAGTTTCTGAATCATGTAGGAACCAGTGGTTCATGGATTTTTTTCTCCATGTTAGAGCCATTGGATTATTGCCCAGGACTGATCAGGTTTCTCCTCTCAATTTGCATACACCTTTCGTATTACTAACAAAACATTAGAGAGCTAAATGTGAAAGCCTTACATTATCACCATGATTCACCAACATAGCTAGCTCCCATTGATGTGTTTGTTAGTACGGTGGAACCAATGAATGAGCCTCCTCCTGTAACAATAAACATGGTTCTCATAAGTATTGTTATGGACTACCCAGTGGATAAAGTTTCATGTTATGATGCTTGAGCTATGCTTACTTTTGAACCCTTTTCTGAAATGGCTGAGTTTGCAAGGAAATGGGTACCTTTTTGCAAGAAATTCAAGATTAAACCAAGAGCCTCTGAGTTCTACTTTTCCAAAAGATGGATGAGAGACAGGCAATGAAGGTCACTTGGGCTACTATAATTCCACCTTCTTCTTGTGTTATACATCAGACATATTTAAGAGACTAATGAGTGTATTTCACATTATCTTTTTTTCTTACGCAGGCAGAAAAAGTATGAGGAGTTTAAAGTGAGGATGCTAAAGAACACAAGATGGCTGGACAATGAAGGATGTTAATCCCTGGCCTGGTAACAACTCTAGAGACCATCTTGGAATGATTCAGGTACACTAATACACTCCCTTTTATTTATTTTTTACTTCTCATATATGGGCTACCTGTTGCAGTGGTTGCGTAGCTTAGACGTCAAGGTAAGTTTGAGAGGAAATCTCAGTTTCTTTATTAAATCCATAAAATTTAGTAAAGATAACCAACAGCCAGACAGTGTACGAAGTAGCCAAGAACGAGAACACAAAGAGGGAGCATGCCCTCCCTAAAGATGATGGAAATAAATTTACTCAAACAGTTATCAGAAGCAAATGAAAACCAGGAGTATATGATCCTTAGAGCATTTGAGTGAAAGCAACCTCTCAAGTATACTAAGAAAATCAAGAAATCTCTCCTAAGCCTTAAGATGTATCAATCCTATTTGTTTGTTAAATTCAAAGAAGGCTTTTGTTTCAATTTTGTGACTGGAATCGATCTTCTCTTCTTCTATGACAGAACTCTTTGTCAAGAAGCAATATGCTTAAGGTGGAGAAGATGAAGATACTGCAAATGATGAAGGAATTCAAGCCTAACATGGTACGATTTTAATTAGCCCTGGTTCTCCACTTATTTCGCAGCTTAGGTTTGGTGAAACTGATTTAAGATTATATATGTGTTATGGTCTTATGAAGTTTGTTGATGGTTGGCTTGCTTTGAACTAATAAGTATCGGCTTGGAATAAAATAATGAGGTAATCTTTATTTTTAGTATCACATTGTAGAATAGTAAATGTAAGTTTAATCCTAAATTGTATATTACTGAGTACATCAATGGTTATTTCTAATGATTGTTATTTCAATTTGCAGGGTAGGGAGATTGATCAGGAAGTGGTCAATCGTTGTACTTCGTAGTAATATACATCTCTTAGCGGTTGTTAGTTGTTGTACTCAGTGAGAATCTATATAGTATTTTTCTCAGCTGATTATGTATCTGATTTTGCTCAAGAGTAGTAGATTCATTTGTTTTTTTTAATCAGGAAAAGCGTGATGAAACATGAATTTTGTAATGGATCTTGGAGCAGAAGGTTTTAAGCAATGTGCGAAAATAGTAGTAAGTATTCTTTTGCGCTCTCTCTCTCTTCCTTCCATATGTGTTAGTACGTAGTAACTTCAAACTTATAATCTTGTCGCATTATATAATAGTAAGCAGAAAAATAGTAGAGTTGCTACAAAGAAAAAGCAGGTATATCCTTAAACCTTTTCTGGTACTGTCAGATACTCAATCTAAATTATTTCTTTTGAATATTGCAGGTTTGATAGAGATTAATCTCTTGGAACAAATATGAATTACAAGCAAATTCCTCCTTAGGTTGGTTGATTGCTCATTATGATTGGTTGTTGTATGCCTATGTTAATTGTTTTATTGAGTAAAATTCTAATCTTACTACTGAAATATGAATGTCATCTGATTATAGTACTGACTTCTTGTTATTGCAATGCTAGGGGGTGTGACCTTTGATTGCGTATTGAACTCTAATGGGTCTTAATCGATAGGTCTTGAAGTTTAAAAATAAATATCTAGAATGAAAATTAAGAAACACAAAATCAATAGGTTTAAGATCATGTGTGTGAATATGTTTGCAAGCGAGTTATAGTCATGCGTGCTCTTTTTTCATCAATAGCTTAGACTTCCATGAAGAAAACTTTGTCAATTCTCTAGAGTGGTTGATTTATCTATCTATAGGTTTATCAGGGCAGAAAATTTTGTATTGATGAGCTCACTAGGCAGTCTAGGCTTGGTACCATATATGGAAAATCTTGTGATGGAGCATGAAGTCAGGTATGGATCCAGTTATCTTGAAGAAAGAACATGAAAATTACCAAACGCTAAATCAATATGTTTAAGATCAGATATAAGAACATGTTTGCAATCGAGTGTTACTCATATGTGTTCTTTTTACCTGAATAGGTTAGATTTTAAAGCTATGCGGATGAGTTTGAAGAAAACTACTGAACCTTGTAGAACATCAGGACTATCTGGTCGACCATAAACATAAGGTATAGAAACCAAAATTGAGTCCTTTTTTTCTTCTGTTTCGTTTACTTTCACAGGTCTTTAAAGGAGGACATGACATAATCATTTCTAGATGTCTCATATATGTTTGTTTGTTTTTTGCCTTGCAAGGAAAATGGAGCTAAAAACTCCCAATATACATATATATTGGTATGCTTCTTTTAACATTTGATAATCTAGAAACTAAAGAAAATAATCTAAACAAATCGGAAAATTGGAGACTGAGCTATTATTGCTAGCTCACTGGGCAACCTTTTAGAGGCTGTGAATGGCTCTAGAACAAGTGAACATTAAACAACTAACATGAACATGATGCTTTTTTTTTTTTTTTTTTGTCTATTTTGATTTTCAAAACGTTTTCATCCAAAAACCATCAAAAATACCAATTAGAAATAATTTTGGTTTTCAACAAAATGAATGTTGACTAATTCTGTTAAGTCTGGTTTTCAACATTAATTAAATTTATTTTTTGGTTAAACAAAAATACCAATTGGTTTAATCTAATTTTAGCTTAGTTTAATTGAAAACCGGATTGATTTGCAGTTTAATCAAATTCTAAATTAATTGCCGTTCTAACATCGATTTGGTTTGGTTTTTAATCCAATTTATACTAAACTGATCTAATTTTGGGTTAAAACATTTGAATTCCTTAGTGAGCTTTTTCAATTCTCCTTGCAATAATCTGATACGCCTCCGTCAATTTCCCGATTGTTCCTCTCCTTCCACTAGTGATAGATCGTCGTTTGGTATAGTAAAATCGGAGAATCAATCCGATACCGAGATCCTGAACCCTAAAACCACTCCGACGAAACCTCCACGGTTCTAGATTTCTAGATTATCGACTCTTCTTTCTAGGGTTTCCGAATTGGTTTCCACTCACTCTTCATCTAAATCCCTAACTTCTGTGAAGCTTTTCTCCTTAATAATGGCGTTGAAGTCATTGAATAACATCTGGATTCGTCGTCAACAATGTCCTTGTGGTGATTGGAAATGCTATATCAAACTCGAAGGAGATGAATCAACCTGTCAAGTAACTAAAAGCGAGATCGAATCAACAACAACAACAACAACATCACTGTATGATACTGTGTTTATGCCTTATGTTGGTCAAATCTTTAGAACTGACGACGAAGCGTTTGAGTATTACAGTACATTCGCTAGGAAGAGTGGTTTTTCGATTCGGAAAGCGCGGTCTACGGAGAGTCAGAATTTAGGTGTTTATAGGCGAGATTTCGTTTGTTATCGTTCTGGTTTTAATCAGCCTAGGAAGAAAGCTAATGTAGAGCATCCACGGGAGCGTAAGTCTGTTAGATGTGGTTGTGATGCTAAGTTGTATTTGACTAAAGAAGTTGTTGATGGTGTGAGTCATTGGTATGTTTCACAGTTTAGTAATGTTCATAACCATGAGCTTTTGGAAGATGATCAAGTTAGGTTGCTTCCAGCTTATAGGAAGATTCAGCAAGGTGATCAGGATAGGATTCTTTTGTTGTCGAAAGCGGGGTTTCCTGTGAATCGGATTGTTAAGTTGTTGGAGTTAGAGAAAGGTGTTCAGGCTGGGCAGTTGCCGTTTATAGAGAAAGATGTTAGGAACTTTGTTAGGGCGTGTAAGAAGAGTGTTCAAGAGAATGATGCTTTTCTTAGTGAGAAACGAGAGAGTGATACGTTGGAGCTTCTTGAGTCTTGCAAGGGTTTGGCTGAGAGAGATATGGATTTTGCTTATGATTGTACGTCTGATGAGAATCAGAAAGTTGAAAACCTTGCGTGGGCTTATGGAGATTCTGTTCAGGCTTACTCTTTGTTTGGGGATGTGGTTGTTTTCGACACTACTTATCGGTCAATCCCTTATGGTTTGCTACTTGGGGTGTTTTTTGGGATAGACAACAATGGCAAGGCGATGCTTTTGGGATGTGTTTTGCTTCAAGATGAGAGCTGTCGTTCTTTTACATGGGCTTTACAGGTTTGTGCATCCAATTTATTGTAATTGTCAAGATTGGAGTAGATGTATGTATATATGTTGTGGTCATGCTCTCCTTTTTTGTCTTATTTTGGACAGACTTTTGTTCGTTTCATGAGGGGACGGCATCCTCAGACAATTTTGACGGATATAGATACAGGACTTAAAGAAGCTATTGCGAGGGAAATGCCAAATACAAACCATGTGGTATTTATGTGGCACATTGTCTCCAAATTAGCTAGCTGGTTTTCTCAGGCACTTGGGTCGCACTATGATGAATTTAGAGCTGGGTTTGATATGTTATGCCGGGCAGGGAATATAGATGAATTTGAACAGCAGTGGAATCTCCTTGTCACTCGGTTTGGTCTTGTTCCAGACAGGCATGCGGCTTTGCTTTATTCGTGCCGAGCATCCTGGTCACCTTGTTACATCAGAGAACATTTTGTAGCTCAAACTATGACCCCGGAGTTTAATCTATCTATAGATTCTTTCTTGAAAAGAATTGTTACTGGACCAACATGCATGCAACTATTACTTGAAGAGGTTTGTGAATCATATGAAACTTACAGTTTTATTCAATTTCAATATTATTTCATTGCTGCCTTGATTCATTATTCCGGAGAGCATTGCAGGTCAGTGCTGCTGCAAGTCTAGCCAAGCAAATCCCGCCACGGTTCACTTATCCGAGCTTGAAAACATGTATGCCTATGGAAGATCATGCAAGGGGGGTTTTGACGCCTTATGCCTTTAGCGTATTACAGAACGAAATGGTTTTGTCTGTGCAGTATGCTGTGGCTGAGATGGCCAATGGTCCATACATCGTACATCACTTTAAGAAAATGGAAGGTGAATGTTGTGTGATCTGGAACCCGGAAAACGAGGAGATCCAATGTTCATGCAAGGAATTTGAGCATTCCGGAATCTTGTGCAGGCACACTCTTCGGGTACTGACTGTGAAGAACTGCTTCCATATACCTGACCAGTACTTTCTATTACGATGGAGACAGGAAAGTCCTCATGTTGCTGTAGAGAATCAAAATGGCCAGGGCATTGACGATGACTGTGCTCAAACATTTCATTCGCTCACAGAAACTCTCCTCACAGAGTCTATGATCTCAAAGGATCGAGTTGATTACGCTAACCAAGAACTTACTCTACTTATCGATCGTGTGAGAAATATAGCACCATCTAATTGCTTGTATCAGCCATGACTGCTAATCCAGCAAGTGAAGTGTTTCAAGGAGGGTAGATATATCTTTTCTGTCTTTTGTTTTCTATTTCGTTTCCATGACCAAACTTTATTTCTCCACCTTTTGGTTGGCAGGCCAAATTTGCAGTGTTTGGTCCATCCCAGTAACATAGACTGCGCCTGCCCTGTTTCGCCAGTAAAGAGTTGAGGTCAGGAAAATTGCAATGTCACTATCTGCAGCCTGTAAAACAATGTTCTTTCGAGACTAGTTATAAAGCTTTGATTTTATGCATTTCTTGCCTAATGTTAGTTGATTAGTTAGGTATTGCCAATTATGCTACAGGGCTTCACACTTCACAGCATAAATAGTTAGAAGAAGAAATAGTTTTTCTTTTGCTCATTCACGATGTTGTTCTAAACTTGTAAACTGCGTTTTTGCCTCTAGAGTCTCCAAAGTTGCCATTTTTGGAATACCTTTTTCATTTCATTTCTTAGTAAACTTGATCGAGTAAGATTCGCGGTCTTTTATCTTTTATGTCGCTTAGCTTTGGTGTGGGATGCACAATAACTGGTGATTCTAAAGCAAATTGGCATTATGTATCTGTATCCATCATAAGTTCTTACATATTTCATTAGTAATATATGATGTCAGGTTGGTGTTACATAAATCTGTGATTGAAGTCTTGGCCAAACTGGAAAAGTCAAGCTTTTCGATTTCTTCGTCTATGCAAAAGTCGTAGCTGTCTTAATGTTTTGATTAGTATAACACATGATGCTCGGTCCGAGGGTTGAAATCATTGCTTCTTCTTAGATATACGGTGAATAATTTGTGATTCATGGATTGTTAGGGCATAGTCTGTTCTTTGGCGGAAATGATCATCACGGTACTATTAGTTACTACTTTTGAGGACCATTGGTCGTGATTTATATGCACAGATGACAAGTAAATATGGTATTCCGTTCGTTGTTCTCTTCGAACTGCTAAAAAAAAAGTGTTGAAGAGAAACTAAAGAGGAAAAGCTTTAGCTTTAGGTTATGGTATGTCGGGATAAATATGAAAGCTCTCTTTTGGCAAACCCTACATTTGTAATCATGAACCAAATTCATTTCTCGACTCTCTCTATCTCTCCATCTCTTCTTCAGTGACCAGTTGTCGAACCGTGCAGCTTACAACTTGTCACTGATTGATCTGGTTTAAACTGGTACAATATTGATATCAGATCACTCACCTTTCATCAATTTAATACTAACAACACAAAGTGCAATATTGATATCTGATATTTGATTAAAGAATCGGCTTTTAGAAGCTGCATTGTCATCACCTACTCCTTATAAATTGTTCTTAACTTCACAAAACGTAGTTCAACTCAAAAACTATGGTGAGAATCTTGATGAACCTAGACACTAACACAACAATGAAAGAAAACAATTATGACATAAGAAGCAACCAAACAAAAAATTACATATTTGCCAAAACCAAAAGCATATAAGTATTTGTTTATGGATAGTTACTAACTATTCCTCTAATTGAATTCTAATCCCAATCTTCATCATTTATCTGCCAATCATCATCATCATCTCTCGGCGGCCTAACGACCAAAACAACCATCCCTAAACTCTCATTCACTCCTTTCTCCTTCAACACCGATCCTCTATCCAACTTCATCCCACCTTCAGCCACAACAAGATAGTAATATCCATTATCCGCTTCCACCGTCTTCTTCTCCCTATCAATCACAACCATTATCGCCTCTTCTTTCCCGTTCCACGGCAATACTTCCCTATCATCTCTAAACGAAACCGCCACTCCTCCTTTCCTAACCGCCACAACGGGTTCCCAACCCGGTAAAACAACCCATCTACTCCAATCTTTCTCAGCTTCCACTACACCAAACTCTCCTCCAGTTTCAAACTCCATTGGAGCTTCAAGAAGCTTCTCTTCTCCTTCCTCTGCTTTACAAACCGGTAAAACAACAACCGAACTCGCTCCCGCTACTTCTCCAAACCTCAATCTCACTACAGGAACACGAATGATTTTTATCTCCTCTTCTTTAGCTCTCTCTTCTTCACTCTCTCCATGTAACTCCCTCGTTACCGCCTTTTTCGCTTTCTCTGTTACCGCAGTTTCAAGAGCTTGTTCAAGCAATGTAGTTCGAATCTCCGACGGACTCCGATGTTCTCTACTTTTCCTATATAGCATAAAAGACAAACAATCTCCAGGTAAGTTATAATCAAAATCTTCCCAACCAACATCACCGCGACGATGCGGATAATCTTTAATCGCTCTCGCAAGATCTTGAGCTCCTTTCGTATCGAAATCGTGATCAACAATGTATTCAGCAGCAGCTATACGTTGAGTTGTATTCAAAAGACGAATCTCGTAGAGAAGCTCTGCTCCACCGGTGTCAAACGCAGCGATCAGCTCCGGTTTGGCACCGGATTGAACTAAAGAGTCCCGAACTTGCGCGCCGACGATGAGACGATTCTGTTCGACACCGGAAAGTCCGGTGAGTTCTTCGATTGATGGAGGAGTGAAGCCTTCAGTGTATAAGGAGGAAATGAGTGGAGCGTATTCGAACCAGAGACCGAGACGATCAGCGAGGACTTCGATTTTTCCGGCGGTGTCGAGTGATCGGAATTTAGGAGGGATTGGTGATGGTGGTGGACGGAATGGTTGATAGAGTTGTTGTGGTGGAGCTTGACGGTTTGAAGCGGGGATTAAGGCGGCGGTTATGGTGGTGAAGGGTTTTGGGTAAACGGGTCGGGTATTGGAGAATCCATGGGTTTTGGATTGTGTGAAGAGTGAGGATTTGAGAGTTGTTGCAGTGAGAGAAAGCATGGTGGTGGTGAAGAGAGTGGAGACGATGATGGTTGTTGTTACCTTATCGTCTTCGTTGATAAGAGATAAGACTCGGGAAAATTAAAGTTCTTGAACCGGATTTAAACCGGTTTGGTTTAACGCATCTTCTGATATTCTTTTTTCCCGCCACCTGCTTTTTTTTTATCATAAATAATGGGTAATGGATTTATATATTTGAGTTGGAAATCCAAACATAGCAATTGTATGTGTTGTTAGATCATTTTTAAAAATAATTTGTAATCTTTGGATTAATTTTTTAATACAATTTTAATCTGGTGTTATTTGTTTTCCATGTTTTTTAATTGGATTTTAATAATAAAGATTGGATTTCACATAGGATTTCAATTGATTTGGAAGTGTTTTTGGTTTTGAAATACAATTTAAAGGTAATTTTATTATTTTAATTTATTTGTTTGATTTCAAAATCCACATGATGTTTGCTTTTAAGGTCACCCAGAATTTCTAAACTTAACGTAAATTTTTATATAAGTTAAAAAATTTATATTTATATTGACCAAGAGATGTTCTTTAACTCCATCGTTAAAACTAGATCACGACTCGTCAGAAACTTGCCAGAATCAAATTCGTCTTCGATCTAGTGTAGAAAGACAGTCGTTAGCTGACAGCCAAGACCCGCTATACAAGTTGCAACTCTCTCCTCTTTCCACTAACGGTACTACACACAAAATCACATGGCAACTTCCGCTACAAAACCAAGCCTCAGAAAGTTACATGGCGGCTCGCTAGTAATGTACCACCAAGATTCATCGGCTATCCTTTATCGGATCTAAATATAGGTGGAAACACCTCAATCCTAGCTTTTGAAATTAACCACTCCGCCTCGCCACACAAGTTTACCACGCTTCACACCGCCGGAGAAGGAAGGATCGATTCTCTTCATTCAATTAGCAACCCACAATCCATTAATTAAGCTTAAAACTGAAAAAAAAAATAAAGCATATTGTTTTGTTTTAGACAAAGTTATGTTTTGCAATCTTTTCTTTACTATTGAACTCAAAACTCGCGACTACTTCTAGATGAAAACTGATTCTTCAAGCTTTCGTTTGATATTATTTAAAATGGTGGTCGGAAAGTCTAAAAAATAGAACATGTCCAATAAGCTGTTTTGTTCTTTTTGTACTAAAGAACTACCTCTTTAGACTTTAAAAGCACATAAAACCTTAAAATAACTATATAAAATCGAATGAAAATCATGTAAATTTCTTGCATACTAGTAGTACAAATAAGTTTCTTACTATGATATTTCCATGAGCTCTTAAATACATTCTTAATGGATATATGTAATATATGTACATAAGAAATTCGGAGATGGATCATATCTTTGATTGAGCAACGTTTGGCACAGAAAAGCGACCTCACAACTCAGGCAAAAGTTGCAACAAGAAAATGAAGTTTTGAAATATGTTGCTATTTATTTATTGATTTCTCAATTAATAAATCAGGCTTTGACCTCTTATATATCCAATATATGTCCATTTAGTTTCCCTTTTCTCAACAATCTTATGTATAAGTATAGTTTATTGAAAATATTGATTAATTTTTTAAGACTATAGTTCATTTCTTCAAGATTAATCACTGACTTTTCCCATTTATTATCGTTCATCCGCAATATCAACCATTCAACCATAGGTTTAAATTTTTTCTGACAAAATATATATATTTTTGTTTACCAAGAAAACTCGGTCAACGTAGTAAATTTATAGGCTTTGGTTTTTTAATACCAATTTATTTTATTTGTTAAGGAACGTAATTATTTACAATTCTCTTCCACTTTATTTCGAAAAAGATGAGACCGATTTTGACCAAGAAAAAATATGCACAACAAAAACAAATTATGTTTTTTTAGTGAATCAATCACCGGATTGGGCTTTTTTTTAGAGAAAATTATTGAATCAGGTACGTTTGTTCAGCATTGCTAATTTAGGCATTTCTCTGACTAACAAAATGTTGATTTTATCCTTACCACATGGTAGTTAGGAAAAAGAGTAAATCAAATGTCGATGCTAACTTTGTAAGTTCCGATGATGAAAATATCTCTCCGACGTGAATCAAACTGATGAATCAATCATGGATTAGAGTTAAGATTGTTTAACAAAGTTTGGTCTGTTCGTTATGAATATTAGTGGAAAGAAGATCAGAGTTATTTGTTCAAAAAAAGAAGAAGATCGGAGCTGTCACCAGTAGTTACAATCGCGATTTTTCCAAGATCTGCAATTCGAGCCCTTGGGTTTACTAGATACTATCCCTTAGGGTTTAGTTTTGTTTATTTAAAACACAATTAATTCTTGAATTCATCGGAGCTCCGAGATAGTGTTGTTGGTGGAGACGTTTGGTGTTTGGTGATGGTGTTGATGAAATTAAAAGTAATGAATTTAACGGAGATAATGTTGTTAGAACACGACGGTGACGAGTGATGATTGTTGTCGGAAAATCAAGTGATCGCGTCGGAGAAGAAACGAATAACGATGGATGTGGTTGGGAGAAGAAGAAGAAAGAGATATAGAGGACAGGGATAAAACTATCTTTTTCACTAGATCAAAAATACCCAATTTGAAAGGCTTGGTAATAGTTACCCAAATTGAAAGTTTTGGCCTAACAAAGCCCAAATCCACAATAACCCCTTTTTTTTTGTACAAGGTTAGAAAAAAAAAACAGATTATATTATTTCTCTCTTTCAAAAGAGGCAAAGTAAATGCTTTCTTCTCTCTCCATCCTAATTATTTCTTCTTATGTGGAAGTTGTCTTCATCTCGCTCCGGTTTCGATCTTTCACCGGTTTCTTTCGTGTTCGGTGTGGTCCGGTTCGTGTTTGGTTTGCTCTTTGTCTCTATTCGATAGGTCAGATCGAGATCTGGTCTGTTCAAAGACTTCTTTCGAGACGTTAACTTGTCGGGGTATATTCTTTCGACTTCGCCGCTTTCTGGAGAAATATTTTGATCCTGATGCCTTTGGCTTGGATCTTGTCTTGGTGGTGTGGTAGCCTAGGAACTCTTTCATTGTAAGGTAGTCTCAATCCACTATAAGAGGAACCGCTTATCGTTGTCTCGCTTTGCTGCTTCGGTTTGCTTTGTGTAAGGCATTCCAGTCATGGTTTTGATTTGATAGGTATGGAGTTTGTGCTAGATTCCAGATTTAATTTGTTGAGTCTCTTGTTTCAGTTATCATTTATTTCCTGTTTATTTCCCTGTAATTTAGTGCTTTGTTTCTTTCATTTAAGCTTAGTTTCTGGGGGTTAAAGTTCCGCCGGTTTAGTTTCTTGGGGCTAAAGTCCCGCCGACCTTTGTATTCCGACAACGTATTTCACCCTGTTATATATAATCATTCAGATGAAAAAAAAATGTTTCCTTCTCCGTTCAACGTTGTCTCTTCATATATATGTTGCAATCCAAATCGATTCCATGTGAATTTTAGGTCCTCCCAACCTAATGAGGAAGAACAAGCCCATATTTCAGATTCGAATCTCTTCATATGTTGGAATCCAAATCCAATGTGAATTTTAGGCCCTCCCAACCTAATGAGGAAGAACAAGCCCATATTTCAGATTTGACTTTGTACTGTTTAAAATTTTATTTAATATTTTTAAAATATGTACTAAATATATATTTTAAATGATTTACCACATATATAGTTTACATTTGTATATTTATCTATCTATATATATATATATATATATATATATATATATATATATATTTATGGAGGATAGTGCATATCCGAGGTTTCAAATTTTCATAATTGATTTTTATCTGCTTTTAGCTAATATTAAATTTTAATTTTAATATTTTATTTGTTTTCATATGTTTTGGTTATATGAGTTAATGAATTAGATTAAAATGGATAACGTATCAAAGCGGATTTTACATATATTTTACAAACCATAATTATAGTATTGAACACTGGATTACTGACACTTCTTTTTTTTAAGTAGTTTCACAGCATTGAAAGAACACAAAACTTTTTTTCGCGTATCTGTCACATGTTGTTTGTTCATTCATTCTAAAAATAATATGTATCCTTACATGTGTATAAATATATACCTTACATTTTTCATAATGTACGACAACGAGTAATATACTTCTCCAATACTGCAATTTCTCATTTAATAGGATTACGTACGAAACGCATAAGTATGTCCGTATATTGTACCAGAACTTTTGTTTTGACTGGGAAAATATCAATAAATTGTTAACCAAAAATAATAGAAAAATGTAAGCTAATTAATTATATTATCCCTCTATATAAGAAATAAAGAAGAACCTAGTGAATGCACCCTGAGAGTGACACAAGAAGGGAGGTAGGGAATCATAACGACATGTGAGAAGTCTTATAATCTTTGCCATATATGGAACAATGGTATTTTGCTACAAAAGGGAACACTACAATACCAAAACATTTAGATGTTATTAAAGAATAAATAGTCTTGGGTTAACCAAAATATTAAAGGTCTTAAAAGCTTAACCCTATAGATCCATGGTAGTAATATAGGGCTTTAGTTTCCAAATGCTGGAACTCTGTTCCCCGTATAATGTTTTCTCCCTATTATCATATATCCTATGGAGATCTCAAAAGTCAAAAATACATGTGTGTGTCTCGTGAGATTGGAAAATAAAATAGTGATAGAAGGTGGTAAAATCTGTTTTAACGGTTATGTTAATACATTTTTGAAAATAAAATAGCGGTACATTAAAATATGAAAATTTAGTTATAATCACTATTGGTGAAATTTTAGTTGTTTAAACATTTTCACTTTTCTTTTATAGCTTAAAAATAGATGAATTACAAGAAAAATATTAGAATAGTTAAATATCCATTAAATTTATGAGTGAATCAATATATTTTATCACACCGGTATTTTTTAATCGTTTAATACATATAATTAGTTGACAACAAAAATTCCACCGAAGTTACTGTAAAAAATATATTTGAACTGAAAAAATATATTACTTTTACCTATGAAATCTGTATTTGTTAAGTTGTTACTTATTTTCTTATTTTTAG